TCAAGCCATGTGGCCCTGTCCAACAATAAACCATCTTTCCAAGCAGCCTCCATGTCTCCAGTGTCTTTTTCCCCACTTGGAGCTGAACCCAGGACATTTCTTCCAACAATAAAAACTGCAGTTATCCAGATCATGGGTTAGTGGTGTATTGCATATTTTGTGGGCATTTCCAATCAGCCTGTATTGCCTGCCAACAAAAGCTGATGCCCCGGAGATTGGAAGAGTCATTCCTTCTACATTATTTCACAGCGCTACAGCTACAGTACATGGGGATGAAGGGGGGGGGGGGGGGGAGAGATAGATTGCAGGCTAAGTGAGTTAGAGAGCCTGGGAACAAACTCACTTTAAAGGTGACAAATTCAACCTTACAGAAAATAATTGCTTCCTCACGCACTGGGGAAAACAGAAAATAGATTGTCAGAGTGCCTATATAATGAGATGCCCTTGCTGTAGCTTCTGCAATCAATATGTTATAGGCACACCTTACTGGCTATGTTAATTGAAATACAGAGCAGCCCTGATTTCTCAGAGACCTCTCATAGCTCAGTTCTGCTATAAACTTAATCACAAGTAATAGTGCAAGGTGTTGTACTTCCTCACTCTCCCCTCCCCCGTCACACCAAAGAACACAACCATCTCTTACACAATTGTAATTCTTAAGAACCTAAGGGTTCAGGACTCAAGAGAAGCAATCTTAATTGCTTAGATCGTTTTGAAGCACTTCTTCACATAGAGTATTTTAAAGTAGAAATTACTTCTCGTAATACTGGTTTTGTCATTCATTTAGCAGTGTTTTTTCAAATTTGGCAATTTGAAGCTGTGGCGATACAGTATTGGAGCTTCCACATCTCTAGAAAGAGCAAGAATGACAAGCAGGAGTACAGCAGATTTAATGAGAAGCCTAATTTTTTTATTGTTTACTTTGCATGTATATTTTAAGAATAGAGATTTAGGAGGAAAAAAAATTCAATAACATGATAGTGTGTGGCAAATCAAGTTTATTTATAGCAGTGTTTCATGGCAACAATAAAAAATGGTTTGTCACTTGGTTCTGAGCTGTTTGTTCAATTTCCCAGTTACCTTAGCGCTCTTTGAGAACCCTAATTTTAGTAGTAATCAGTTCAACATTCCTTAGCTTTGTCTGTTATCAGCTAAGCCTGACAAAGTGCCATCAAATTTTCATGAACATTAAAACAATGAAGAACCCATATTGAGAAATAAGTGAATGTAAAATTTGCTGTAGGCTTGTTCAGAAGAACTGTGGGAAGTTATCATCTAGCCCTCTCCTAGAAAAATGAAATATCCTAGGAAATATTGAAAAGGCAGAATATTTCTCTGGATGTGAAAAAGGAAGAAACATGTTTTAAAAG